ATGAAAACAACACTGAGATTCCACCTCACTCCAGAAAGAATGGCTGCTATCATGAAATCATCGAATAAGAAATGCTGGCGGGGATATGGGGAAAGAGAAACACTGCTTCACTGCTGGTGGGAGTGTATACTGGTGCAACCTCTGTGGAAATCAGTATGGAGACACCTCAAAGAACTAGGGCTAGAAGTCCCATTTGACCCAGCTAGTCCTCTACTTGGTATCTTCACCAAAGAATTAAAAGAATCATACCACAGTGATATATGTACCCATGTTTATAACAGCACAGTTTGTAATAGCTAAAGCTTGGAAACAACCAAAGTACCCATCAACTGGAAACTGGATAAAGAAGATTTGGGTTTTTTATAAAATGGAGTACTACTCAGCCATAAAGAATGAGAAACTACTGGTCTGCCCATGCCCTACCGAGGTCCTGAGTTGCACAGAACATGCCGAATCAGCCCGCTGCAGACAGGCAGGTCTGTCCATGCCCTACCGAGGTCCTGAGTCGCACAGAACACACTGAATCAGCCCACTGCACACAGGAAGGTCTGTGCACGCCCTACCGAGGTCCTGAGTCATGCGGAAGACACCGAGTCACCCCGCTGCAGACAGGCAGCCACCTGATTCTGCACTGCAAAGACGCAGAGGACACCAGACCACCAGACCAAGGTACTGAGTCCCGCTGTTCCTGGCCCAGAAGTAGGGGCTTCTGAGCCGTCATCCCACTGCTCCTGGTCCAGAGGACGGGGCTTCCCGGTCACCATCCCTCCCGCTGCTCCCAGCCCAGAAGAAAGGGCTTTTGGGCTACCTTCTGTCCCGCTGCTCCTGGCCCAGGGGAAGGAGCTTCCAGGCCACCATCCCTCCCACCGTTCCGAGCCCAGAGGGAGGAGCTTCTGAGCTGCCATCCCACTGCTCCTGGTCCAGAAGAAGGGGTTTCCCGGCCACCATCCCTCCCGCTGCTCGCGGCCCCTGGCCCACCTCACCCAGCTCAGAGGAGGTAATCCGTGCAGGCGCTAACAACCCCTGGCCCAGTCGAAATGAGAAAACATGTAAATAAGTCTCAAAACCAGACTTCCAGATCACCTACAGCAACCCCAAAGGGAAATGA